CCAGCCAATCCCTCCCCCCCCCGATCAAGTGTGTCTGGTATTTTTTCTGAAACTACCTGGTAACCCTAGCTGGGGAGTCCCTTGAGTACAAGCCAAGACACACACACCCGCCCCTGCCATGTGCTAGATCTCCTGTGTTTCAGGGCCCCCTGCATATAAGGCCATTAGGGCTGACCATGGACAAGGCCTCCAAAGGAAAGCTCCCAGCAGCGCACCACCGCTTCCCTCTTTCCGCATGCACCCTGACATCTCTCTGAAATGGGGAGGCCGGGAGACGTCCCTTTCATATCTGTGCCCTAGACAAATGCTCATCAAAGCTGTGGCCCTGCCAGCTTCCATTTGGGCTGAGACCGGTCCCCAAGAGCCTAGTCTCCTCCAGCCTTGGCGGAGCTCGCCCACCGGTGCGGGCGCAAGTGTCAGCGGCACACGCGGGCTCCGGCGTGGTGCTCTGAGCAGAGGGCTGCTGCAGCACTGTGGGGATGTGCGTTGCAGAGTGAATCCGCAGGGCGGTCAAAGCAGCAGCAGCCTGGTAGGGCTACATGGGTGCCAGCCATGGTGGGAAATGTTCTAAAAGGGCCCTCGTGTGCTGAATTCCCCTTCCCAGAGGACGCAGCCTGTGCTTACGCTCTGGAGAGTTGTAGGCCTCAGACAAACCTTTCCGCTGCAATAGAAGACCCTGGGGCTGGCTTTAATAGTTTGCCAGCATTTAGCCTCGAGCTCCCCAGTCCACAGAAGGTTTCCCAGCATAAGGGCTTGATCTGGCTTCCCAGAAAGTCTCCTCTTGGCTCTGAGCTGCTGGGGAAGTTGGAGCCTATCGCTGGCCTTTTCCTTTTCCCTGGGGCCTGTCCTCGCTCGCGTCGTTCTCACACCATTGTTTAGTTTCTCGACGATGCTTTCGCTGCCTCTGCCGGACGGTCACATGAGACTCGCTTACGAGTGGGGATTTTTCGTTTTGTTTTTTTGGCCCAAAGTTTCACCCTGTTCCCCTCTGTACCGCTGCCAGCAGCTTTTCCAGTCTCTGCCGAGCATGTTTTGCAGTCCTACACAAACTCCCAAGAGCGGCCTTATGGCAAGATGAGTGTTTTTTATCAAAGGAAGTAAGATACTAAAAGCAAAGGCAGCATCGTGGAGCCTGGGGGACTGTCCTGACCTGTCCCAAAGGCCTCCGTTCAGACAGTGGTGTCTGCTTGGCAAATGGGAAATGTTTTTGTGGACTTCAGCCAGCTTGTGAAATCCCCTGTCCAGTGACTGGGCTTGTTGTGAATATGTTTCATCACTGCTGCTGGGTGCATCTCCTGGTCTGCAGCAGCCCCCCGGAAATCTCCCTCCTCTGCCCTTCTGTCTGGGGTAGCTGGCCGTAGCTGCGTGGGTCCAAGGTGTCCAACCAGTTCTGAAGCAGTAGCTTGTTTTGTAATTTGGCGCTGTCTACACAGCGCCAAATTTTGAAGTAACCCGCCATTCCGAAACATCCCTTACTCCTCGTGGAATGTGGTTTACAGGGCTGTCAGAATAGCGAGCCCGTTATATTTTGAAATAACAGGCTTGCAGTTAATGCAAATTGCAGACCTTATTTCGAAATAGCTTGTTTTGTAGACAGCGCCAAATTTTGAAGTAATCCGCCATTCCGAAACGTCCCTTACTCCTCGTGGAATGAGGTTTACAGGGCTGTCAGAATAGCGAGCCCGTTATATTTTGAAATAACAGGCTTGCAGTTAAGACATAGCTATTTCGGGATACCTCTGTAGACATAGCCTATGTGAGAGTGTGGGGTGTTGTGGTGACCTCTTGATTTGGGGGTAGCAGTTGCACTTAATGTCATGCTGAATGGCTCTGGTACTATTTTTGGTCAGAAATCTTTCTGCCTCCAAGGGGACAACAGCAAATCTCATAGGCTACGTCTTCACTGCCAGTTCTTCTGGCAGAAAATATGCTAATGAGGGACGCATTAGCATACGTTGTGATCTCATTAGCATAAATATGCTAATGAGGGGCTCATTAGCGTATTGTCTGCCATTTCTTTTTGCGCAAGGGGTTTTTGCGCAAAAAGAAGCAGTGCACACATTTGTGGGTTTTTTGCGCAAAAAAAATAGTCCACGCTGCTTCTTTTTGTGCAAAAACCCCTTACGCAAAAAGAAACGGCAGAAAATATGCAAATGAGATTGCAACTTATGCTAACGAGTCCCTCATTAGCATATTTTCTGCTGGAAGAACTCATAGTGATGACAAAGCCATATACTAAACTGAAAGTATTGCCACCAAAATCAAAGGTGACATGTAACTCTCAATAGCACAGGGGTACGATTTAAAGATCCTGGTGGGCATGTGGCCACCTTGCATGCCACCTCTGGGTCCTAACCCGCCCCTGCTGCATCTCTCACACCCGCTGCAAGCTGGGACCATCTTGACCCCATTGTATCTGTACCTCTTTCTCAGGACAGGAATGAACGGGTGCCTCTTCCCATCAGTCCTTTATTTTCCAGGCCGTGTGTCAGGAATTGAATTACTCCAATAAGTCCCACACAGCAATGGGAAAACTGCTTTTCAGAAAGGCACTTTGTAAAACAGTTGCTATAGATGGAGACGTGGGTGGGAGTGGGATGCAGGGGTCAGGTTTTACCAACCTGCCTCTTCTTTCAGGGCCAGTCGCTGCCTTAGAGCAAAGCGTGGGCACGCCACCTTTCCTTTGCCTGGCTCAGGTCAGTACTCCGAGCAGCCAGAGGAGAAATCCCCAATCTCTGGTGTCACTAACTAAAGACCACCCAGCTGGTTTGCTTGCTTGTGTTTATGTTGCAATATTACCTCTTAAGTCATGCAAGCTAATGTAGCTTGTAGCTTGGCAGGTAAAGTCTCTGACCTCATGCTAAGAGGAGATGTGAACTCACCCAGGCACATGATTAAATGAGCTTTGACTATAATGACTCAGGCCGGAGAATTTCTCTGCCTGTGCTCTACAGCCTCAGACATGGAAAGCCCGCTTCACTATGCTTGAGAAATGAGCAGTGACCAATGTTCCCTCTAATTTTTTCCATCCGTGTGTGGAATAAATTGTTATGTGCACCAAGGCACACACAGATGTGCACCACCCACAGAAACATATGCTGCCTGCTATGGGTGCTCTGCTAATCAGTTGGGCCACATCTGAATCTCTCCTGGGTGGCTGCCTAAGCACTCAGCTTACAGGGAACATTGACAGTGACTGCTTTCCCCTTGCTAAAACTCCTGAGACCCTCTTGGCATCTGAGTCTCGATTAGGCAAAACGTGCAGTAATAGGTTTGGAATGAGTAGTTGTTTGGTGTGTTTGGGCCCGGGGACTCCATGTGATCATCTGAACCGTTGCTGCTGAGGAAGAGCAAGGGTGGCGTAGTCTGCATGAGACAATCCCCAGGAAAATGGGAACCAAAACTCTAGCTCTAGTCTAGCTCTTTGGAAGTCTGTTGGTTAGCACGTGGCCTGGGGCACTGCAGGCTGAGCGGGTGCAGATCCCTTGATCTGCAGTTCCCTCCAAGTTCCCTACTGTTGAACCTCTGGAGAGCACCAAAGAACACTCTGAGTTTCGCTGCCTTTAGGATAAAGGGTGTCTCCAAAGAGCGGAGAGCTTCATGGATTGCTCCCTGGCTCCTCCTTGTTGCTTTCCCTCCCCAGCTGGGTGTGTTCCGCAGTACAGCCCTAAGGAATGAGATTTGGAATCTAGAGACAGATAGATAGTCTCCTGGCTTCTGGCTCTGTGGAACTTCCTTCACTTCCACAAAGGCCTGGACTGGGGACTAGGCCTCAGCTTGTTTATCTAAACCAGGCTGGGGCAACATATGGCCTGCCAGGCCACTGGATCCAGCCCGTGAATGCTGCGGGGAGCCCGAGGCAGGCTACCTGCTTGTCTTGCCCCACCTGCACGCCGCTCAGAAAAGCAGCTGCCGGGTCCCGTTTCTCTTTCGAAACTGTGAGCCCGGGAGGGAGTGGAAAAGGCTTAAAGTGACTGTGAACCCAGAGGGGAGGGGAGAAGGCTTCAGGTGCTGCTTCTACCCCCAGGACAATCTCATTGGCTGGTTTCTGGCCAGAAACAAAGCACCGTGCCCTCTCCCCTCCCCGTCCTAATTATTCACACACGCACATGGCCCTGCAGCAAATGAGAGGGTCGGGCAGGCTCCCTGCCTGCCTACGATGCTTGGGCTCCGGCCAGGAGTCACTCAGATAAGTCTCCTATCCAGAGCTTGCCTCTGCCACCCCAACCTCTCCCTTCCCCTCCTAATCTCTGCTCCCCACTCTTGCCCTCTGCTCTGCATACCCAAACTCTGTCCTCCTCCTGCAGCTATATATGCAAGAGCTCTCAGTGGTCAGAAACCCACAGCCCCTTATTAGTCCACCAAGTCATTTCTCTAAATTAAAGTTACTTTAAATATCTAATGAGTAGTTGGCTAATCCAGTGTCCTAGATCACAGCCTGCCTCCTTCCCCAAGATCACAACCCCCTTCCTGCCCTAGGTCACAACCCAACCCCCTGCACCCCAGTCCAGTGCCCCAGGTCACATCTGCCTCCTTCACCCAAGCCCCACTCTCCCTCCTGCACCCCAATCCCTTACCCATGCTCCCTTCTGCACCCAACCTCCATCCCAGACCCTGCACTTCCTCCATTAATATCTTGGAAGACTGCAGCCCTCCACCACTTTCCAAAATCTTGGAATGCCCCCCCCCCATCAAAAATTATTGTCCACCCCTGATCTAAGCTCTCCTGTTAGTTTACCTGGAAGGTCAGCAAAGAAGGCTGCCTGGGAGCCGGAGAAAATCTAGCTAGAGATGCCAGTCCCTGAGGTATTTACCCAGTGAGGGCCCAGCAGGCCTCATGGGCAAGGCTCCAGTGGGTGCATTAAGGCAAAGCTTTTAGGTGGATGGATTGTCTCTGCAATATGAATGCTGTGATGAGGGTTCACCATGCCAGAGCGACGACTCTCTTCATCCCGAGCAGCAATGTTCTCTTCCGTTCACCCTGTTGTATGGGAAGCTCCAGCCACTAGGGCGCTGAGCTGGGGGTCAGGCGTCTGTCCCCTGCTCTGCTGCGGCCCAGCTGTGTGGCGTCCCCTCTCAGTGCTGCTCTGTGAGGTGTGGACTGTCTCTGGGCACTGACCAGTTCACTGGGGCCCTGATCTTGGTTGGGGACACATTGGTGCTGCCAGACTGTAAATAATTACTGTGTAGACTCGTTCATAAGCCGACTTTTTTGGGAAAAAAATCCCACTCTGAAGAATGGGGGTTGGCTTATGAACCGGTTCTAAATGACAGAGCAGCAGCAGGGGACCCGGCACGAGCTGGGATCGCCGCTGCCACACTGCCTTTTAAATGTAGCAGAACTGTAGCATCTGGAACCCAGCACAACTGCCCCAACTTACAGAGAAAAAATGGTAAAAAGTCACTTGCCTGTTTATAAGATCCCAGATTGCTGTACTCTGGAGTCGACTTATAAACAGGTCGGTGACTTTTTACCATTTTTTCTCTGTGGCTGTGTCTAGATTGGCAGCTGTCTACAATGTAGACTTGCCAGCTGTCTACACTGGCTGCTTAAATTTCCACAAGAACACTGACTTCCTACTGTCTGAAATCAGTGCTTCTTGCGGAAATACTATGCTGCTCCCCTTCGGGCAAAAGTCCTTTTGCACAAATGCTTTTGCGCTAGTGGGCCAGTGTAGACAGCTCAGATTTGTTTTGCGCAAAAAAGCCCCAATTGCGAAAATGGCGATCGGGGCTATTTTGTGGAAAAGCGCGTCAGATTGGCACGGCCTTTTTTCCGCAAAAAGTGCTTTTGCGGAAAAGCGTCTGTGCCAATCTAGATGCTCTTTTCCACAAATGCTTTTAACGGAAAACTTTTCAGTTGAAAGCATTTGCGGAAAATCATGCCAGTCTAGACGTAGCCTGTAAGTTTGGGGGGGGGGGTCATAAACAAATGGGCTTATATTTGAGTATATATGGTAGATTTAGGAGTGGCTTGAGGCCGGCTGCGGCAGCTGGCGCCCCAGACGGAATGCATGATCGGCGCCCCCGTCTGCAGGGCCCGTCAATGAATTGACGTCATTGGCGGGAGCCCCCGTGATGTCATTATCGGGCGCCCCAGGCGGCGGCGCCCTAGGCGGCTGAGTCCGCCTATAGCCATGGACCGCCCCGGGTAGATTAAATAAAACCATGCTAGAAGCATGTTAAGATTGCAAAGTCAAGCACTCCAAAGTTAGGAAATGCCTCAATGAATGTTGCTTATGCAATCTGAATTTGCCCGCCTTGTATGCATGTAGTAAGATACAGCCTCCAAATCCACAATTGCGGTCTCATTTGTACACCTCATCTAACTTCTGCAACAAACAAGCTGCTGTCTGTATGACCCCAGCCTTTAATGCACTACACAGCCCTAAGTTGTTCCCTGAGTGTTCCAGTCTTCCAGACTGTTTTGAATGAGGTACGGACCCATGTTAGCAGTTGCCTGTGAACATGTAATTAAAGATCTCCTCATCGTGTAAATGCACAAGAGGGCCAAATAAAGGCATTTCTGCACTTTTAAGTGCTTGACTTTGCAACTTTAAAGCTCCTTTAATGTGGGAAATTACATCCAATAAAACCAAGCTTTTTAAAAAAGTAGAAGTTGAAAAAACCAACAAATTCCATCACGTAGAACCTTATTGACACTTCTTCCCTTTGCCCCCGTGAGTCATAGCACAGTTCTCTGCTTGTAAGAGAAGTCAAGGACAAAGAATTTCACCCTGCACTTAGAAGGGAAGGTGGTGGGTGAGGTTTGTGATCGTCCTTAGTCCCTAGGGGAGTTCATACTACAATCTCAGACTGGCCCCCGAGAAAGATTCATCTCCTGCAGAGACAGGCTTTCCCCTTGCGGAAAATTTCATTGTGCCAGAGGAGCAAAGTCATTGACCCTGGTCGTCTTTCAGGAGGAATAATAGTATCAATTTCAGGTGCTGCATGATAGCATTCTCTAGGGATTACCGACTCTCCGAACTTCTCTACCGCCCCAGGAACGTTCCTCCCTCCAGCTCCTGCCTCTGTTCCCCTTTCCCTGCATCTCTCACTTGGCCTGGTCCTCACCCACCCCTCTGCATTTCAGATGGGGAGCTTCCTGTATCTCCATGCTGCCTGTATACGCGTGGAGGGTACTCATGGGTCTCTAGGTGCTGGGAGCAGCAACTGCAGAGAAAGTCTTGCTCACCTCAGCAAAATTCAACACGAGAGAGACACATGGCATAGAAAATTTCAGCCCAAACTGTTTAACGCCAGGTCTATACTAGGCCCAGGTGGTTGGCTTAAGGAACACAACTGAACACAACTGAGTGGACATACCTTAAGCTGAGCTTGGCACCGTTTTCACAGTGGGAGGTTGATGGGAGCGAACACTCCCGTCAGCTTCCCTTACTCTGCGACTGCGAGGAGCACCGGCACTGACCAGAGCTCTCTCAGCATTCGATTTAGCGGGTCTTTACTAGACCCGCTGGACTAGTGGGTTTACTAGACCCGCTAAATCGAACGCCAGAAGATCTATCACTAGCGTATAAGTACAGATGAGGCCAAAGTTTGGCAAAGTTATAAGCACTGAGAACTGGGTCTTACATTGGAGAGTGTTGGGTAAAGTTTGCTATCGATGGTGCTACTGGTGAAGCTGTGGAAAGTTGCCCCAGCCACTAGTGAGTGGAATGCTGTGTCTGAACTCCTG